TATATATATATACGTGGGTGTCGTTGCCAAAGCTCCGCGGACCAGCATATAAGTAGGGAGGGAGGAGTGTTGTTATCTTCGTCCGCTGCGCACATATAGATATATAAAAGGAGCTGTGCAAACGACTCGGGCAGAGATACGACGCGACTTCATCCCTCGGAGGGGGGGCTTTGAACGCTCCGTTGTGCACGCGATATATAACAAGGGGCACAGTGAACTCGGCAAAGCTCGGGCAAAGCTCCGCGAAGCGCGTCTTCGGTACAGCTGGTGTAACATATAGTACTATAGAGCACCGTGAATAGGCACGAGATGGGTTTGAAGGTGCTGTTCAAGGTTGTCCAGGTGGGCTTGTTCCAGGGACCGGCTTCGGTGGGCAGCTCGTCCCGGTGGCTCAAGTTTGGCCGCTGCTTCAGGTTGGTGAACCCACCTTTTTTTTTCCTTCCTTCTTCTTCTTTTTGCCTGTACCACATAATATTTTCTATTACGTCCGTATAGTATCCGGGAAGTTGCGGCGTTTTGTGCTAAAGTCAACCTTTTTTTTTTTGGCTTCGTATACGTGTCAATTTGGGGAAAAATGGGCTCCGTAATAATATGCGGGGTATCGCGTTTTCATTGTCGTCGGGCTATCGCCGAGCGCGTCACGGTAATTGGTTTTTCATTAGTCGACTCTGAAATTTTTTTGTGCTTTGCATGTAGCACCGAATGAAACACTTTGGCCACAGAGTCATAGTTGCTTGGTTTTTCAAACGTCTCGCGTTGCCCCGGTTTAATTTTACTGGAGTAAAAGAAAAAAAACAAAACGTCCATTGTATATTAGATGTACTTACCATCGTTAGTTGCTGAGGGAAATTTTTTTTTTGCGGTCAAGTCGTGAAATGCATTGGTTTTCTGGACTTGCTATGTAGGCTAGTCGGAAAAATTTGTTTGCGATGACCCGTGGATTCCGCGAAAATGAGAAAGAGACGAAAATAATTGCACTTGATGACTCGGCGGTTTCGAGACTCGGTCGAAGAAAAAACATTCACTTTTGCTTTCACGCCGGGATCGAATAAGTGCAACCTTTGGTGCAGTACTTGTATGGTGTAGTTGATCAAACTGCGCGTAAATGCATATATATGACCTCAGGTGCCGTGCGAAAGGGTTCGTTCGTTGGATACACGTTGTTAATTTATTGCGATTTTACACACATGTGAAAAACCAAGGAGGTTCTTGGAAAAACTAAATCAATTTTATTTAAAGCTGAAAGAAATTACGTTTTTTTTTTAAGCAAGTCGTATTTTTTTTTCAGATTAATTTTCGAGATAAAACTCATGTAATTCCACAATTTCAACGTAGGGTCTTATGGGGGTTAATTGAAAGTCCGTGTAGAAAAAAATATTTTGAAAATTTATACGCACTTGAAAATGACATTTTTTCCAGCTTTGCCTATCATTTTTAATTTTTTCCCAGAATCTTCCTAATTTTTACGGTAGCATAAGTATATATAATCATGTATGGGCTTAGTTGTAAAGAATGTACCAAAAATTGGAATAGTTGATTTTAAAATCATAAAACGGTAGGTAAATCAAAGTAAAGTAAAGAAGTGTGTTTTCGTAGTACTATTTTATTACTCCCAAAACATTATACCCCTACGTGCACTTTCTTACACAGAACAAAGAATTTGTGCCTTGCCACCGAGGTAACAATGACCCAAAAAAAAATAAATTTGGCTAAATCACCGGCATCCAATTTAATTTTTGTGGCTCTTTTTTCTCATCCCGAGGATAGGATTTTTCGTTTTTCGAGCGATCAAGGCCACTCTTGTGCCATTACGAGCAGAAAGAACCAGACAAACAACGCTGCACGAAAATATATCGGTGAGACGCATCGGGGGGAATTCAATGTTACTCGCGTCTCTTGATGGGTTTATTTTTGTTTTCCGATTGACTCTGGCTTTAATGGAATATTATTGAGCCCCAAGTAGTAGGTATATTGATGCCAACGGCCAATCACCAATGTAAAGTTTCCTCGCTGTGCTCGTACCGAATTGTTTTGAATTTCCCACTCATTTAAGACAAAAGCAAGGGGATATCCCTGTACGTCAATAAATATCATCGAAATGGTTGGCAGCGCGAAAAATCTAAGCATTGGTGCACGGATTAAACGCGAGTAAAGACAAAGAGCGAAAGTGAGGAAGGGAGAAAAAAATGGTTCATCGAGAGAGAAACAACCGGATCTATAAGTGGCAGTGGCATAAGAAGGAGGGGAGATAAGTGCAAAACGAAAACAAAAGGAAATATATGTATAATCCGGTCACGATGTCAAATAACTGCAAGTAGATGGTCTTTGGTCGCGGCGACTCTTGTTTGTGGAGGGTATACGTGATGATAAATAAAAATATGCATGTATATGTACACTGGGGCATTAAACCGCTATGCGCTCAGTGGCAAAAGTCCGCTATTTATAGAGACCTTCTGTCCACGGTGTTTTTCCGTCCGTTTGTCTTCTTCGCTCGTTTCTTCCTTGCATCTGTGCGTCACTTTCGTTGGCTCTTTTTTTTTTTTTTTTTTTTTTTCTTTTTCTCTTCTGACACACATGCAAACGCGTCTCAGCGAGACGTGCAAGTTTGAATTTCATGCGGTTTGTCTCGCTCGCCTCGGTATTTTTGCTTTTTTTGACGCATGCCAACTTGCGACGGATACTTTTCAAAATTGGGATTTACACAACAAACACTTTTGTTTGAATCTCCATTCTAAATTTTTAGAATAAAAGAAAAAAAAACTCCTAAAAGAGACAATGGACATGCTGAAAGAAAAAAAATAATAAAAAATATAACGAAATTCCAACAAAAGTAAGCATTGCACACAGGAAATCGGATGCAAGCTAGAAAGAAAAGGTTATTATTTTTAACAGTAAAAATGATTGTTTTAACAGTTAAAATTGTAGNATCAACGTGGATTTATTAATTGATGTTGATTAGGTTTGTCCATTTTTGAAAAAAATTTTTCCATAAAACGTATCTTTATTCGTCACATTGTTGTAGAAAACAAAATAAAAAATAGTTTTCTCAAGTATAATTAAAAATTAAGATATTAAAACTTGAAAAAAATGAAAAATAAAACTAATAGCGGAATAGTAGAAAGGTTAAATATTTTTTTTCTAAACGTCATAAACATTTTTTTTCAATTAATATTGAATTGTTTTGTTACATTGTAATCACTAAAAGAAACGTAGAATTATGTATAAATCGATGAAATCACAATTAAATGAAAACCAGAGAAGTAGTTTTCGTCACACAAGCGCCATGCTGCCATAGCTATCGGGAGTAGCGAGGCTTTTTTTGCGACTCGAGGGATCGTAGGGTAGTCACAGTAAGATGGCGCTTACATGAAGAACACTATTTTTCATTTTTCTGTGATTTTTCCTCCCAAAGACGCAGAAAAGTTTCAATTTCACAAAAAACTTCCTGACTGAAAATACCAACGACCAATACTGAAGATATAATTTAGTACCTTGATAAACATCGAAGAGTTACGTAAAATTAATCAAATAATATAATTACGTAAGTTCGATTTACATTCATAACACACTTTTAACAAAAAAAATTAGACTGTTTATGCTACATCACATTAATATTTAAAAAATATAAAAATGGTGTATTCACACTATTTTACTCTAGTATCCCGAAGTAAATTGTACAAACCTCATAATATTTTAATGGTCCTCGCATATTTCTTTTAATGTAAAATATTATGGTCAGTGAAGTTTGACAATTTCATAAAGCTTTCTTGTACCCAAGTCATAAAAAATTTTTTTGAAATAACGTAATAATGTATAGTGTTGTGTACAAATTAATTACTACTATTTTTTTAATGTACAATCTGGGTAAATTCATTGTAAAAGAGGGCGTGGTTGATTTATTTGATATAAATTATATTCATTTGGACTTAAAATTATTCGGAATGCACTGCTAAGGGATTTATTAATACACACAATTTGACTATAGTTAGACTGTACTTTTATTCCATAAAAATTGTACATATAAGTGCCAGAACATAAATATTTGTCTATAAGCAACAAAAAAAATTAAAAATGCTCCATGTAGTTCTCTTTAATTATTTGAGATTATAAGAGCATAAAATTATGAAATACCATTAAGCTATTATTTTTCTTCGTGAAGCTAGTTTTCTTCAGTTGGTTTATTACTGCATGAGTTTTCAGTAGTGAAATTTTTATCCAATAATGGCTCAGCCTTATAGGAAACATAGACAATCAATGTACCGTCTGAGCTTAACGTTACCTTGGCATCATTTAAGTCGCAATTTTCAGGTATTAAAAACGTCTTCTCCAAATTTTGACGATATTACCACGTTCCTCTTTCATTTATTCGTGTATTCAATCAACTACAATAAATCTGCCTTCCACCTGCAATTGAAACAAAATTTATTAACAGTTTTTCCGTTGCTTTCGATTTTTTTATTTTCTTACATTCATCATTTAAATTAGATGTTAGAAGAATAAAACAAAAAGACTTACGGAAATGTTAATTTCTTCTCAAGCAAATTTTGCGCAATCTAGTTCTACCTGAGAATCATTTAAAAAAAATCCTTGTATATTTAATTACATAAAATACGGCTTTAACAAACAGTTCATGAGTATAAAAATAGTCTTACCTTGTAAGCTTTGACATTTTAGCTACCGGTATCATCATCACTCTGAGGGGTTAATATCAAAAGGCTTTTTTATCGGAGATTCCGTGGGAAATGGTAAGTGAAGCAAAATGTTCCTCTCTATTATGTTGTACAATTTTCATTAGTCTATTGCATTCTTCGTCCTCAGAAGACTTGATTATTTAGATAAAAAAAACAGTATACGTATAACTGTTGAAACTGCCACTTTAACAAGGTCTACCGTATAAATTTGATATGCGCTCCGTGTACTACTTGTATAGTTGGAGGCGCATTAATCACTGCTTGTGCTGATACTTAACGGTGTCGTCACTCGCTGCAGTCAAAGTCAGACTTCGAGGGTAATGACTAGCGCTGCGGGCAATGTTTTAGGCATTTTTTTTTCTTTTATTTATTTATTTTTTTTTAATTACTTAAGTACTTATGATGTACACTTATTTTAGGCTTAATTGTGAACTTAAAACATAAAAATTACACGTATGAGATAACTTTTTACATTACAATAATTTCGAATTACTATACACATTTTAAACAAGCATGTTTCGTATATTACTAAAAAACAAACGCTGTACGCTTACTTAATATGTATTGTACCTATTGGTACCATCCTTGGATTTATTGGTACGGTGAGATGTCTTTTGACAAACAGATTGATACATTTTGAGATTACTTTTGTTCACTCATTCGGTGGTGTAGATGCTTTTCCTGGTGAAAACAGTCTTGACAAAAACTTATTTCATTTCACT